AGTTTTATTTGGCTTTAAAAATGTTTTTTTTTTTTTTTTTTTTTTTTTTTTTTTTGAAATCACACCAAAATAAAATATATTTTTTCATTATTATTTATTTATCTTGCCTTTATTTTTTGTGTTGTTAAAATATTTAAATATGAACTTAAAATCCCCAGGTTGACTTTAGTTTCAAAGGCGTTTGGCCTACAGAAAGTTTGAGAATTCCTGGATCAGAGAAGCAGAAGTAAATCTTTCTCTGTCTTTTCTCTCTCTGTGTTGCTCAGAGTCGGATCCGCAGGCGTTCGGCGTGCCGCTCTCGCAGGTGATTGTGAACGACCGGCGTCACAAGCAGCTGCAGGAGGAGCTGCAGGAGGAGCAGCGGAGTCCAGCAGACCGAGTCTCTTCACTCCTGCAGCTGACGGGCCGCAGATCCACCAATAAGGAGCTTTCCAGCAGTAACTCGTCCCTCAGCTCGTCCTCCGAGACACCCAACGAGGGCACGACACCCGGCACTCCGGAGACGGCGCTGCGCTCACGCAGACGGGTAGAGTATCGCCCCTCTCAAGCAGACTGTTATTTTTGGTAACACTTACAGTAACAGTAAGGTCCCATTCATTAACTTTAGTAATGCATAACTAACATTAACTAACAATGAGCAATGCATTTGTTACAGTATAGAATTATCGTATATGATTAATACAACTATTCATCATTAGTTCATGTTAGCTCAAGTGCGTAAAATAATATTTAATACACAAGTAAATGTTGAAATGTTCATTAACTAATATTAATAAATGCTCTAGAAGTGTTTTTCATTGTTAGTTCATGTTGACGAATGGAACCAATGGAATTGTAAAGTGTTAATATATTTTTTAATATCTGATAACTGATATGCAGAACAAAAAAAAAAGTTTTTTGACACAATAAATTAATAATCATCATTAAAACGTTTTTGTTTTTTGTTTTTGTTTGACAAAATAATAAATTAATTATCATTAATAATCATCATTAAAACATTTTTGACACAATAATAAATTAATAATCAATAATAAATCGTTAAAACTTTTTTTGACACAATAAAAAAATCATTAAATCGTTTTTTGATACAATAATACATTTATGATTATTAACAATAATCATTACAACTTTTTTTGACACAATACATTAATAATTATTAATAATAATAATTAAAACTTGTTTTGACACATAAATAAATAATCAATAAGTATCATTAAAACGTTTTTTTGTCACAATACATTAATAATAATTAATAATAATAATTAAAATATTTTTACACAATAATAAATTAATGATCATTATTATTATTATTATGTCCATTTTATGTATATTTTGTACTGTCTAATATTTTTAATAACTATAATGCTTAAAATGCTATATGTCAGGGTTATAATAGTTAACTAAAAGTAAAACCATAAAAACATTTTTGTTTCTTGAAATAAAATAAAGGTTAACTGAAATTATATATATATATATATATATATAATATAATATATAACTTTAATAAACTTTATTTCAGCTAGTTGACAAGTCAACTTTCTCTTTTTCGTTTTAAAGTTGAATTACTGAAATAACTAAATTATTTAATAATTACAAAAACACACAAGATTACTAAAACTTTAACAAAACTTAAAGTGAAAACAGAAAATGTAAAAATAAAATGTAATTTAAAATATTAACAAAAACTATCATAGTATATCAATGATACTAAAATAACACTTTTCTCACATGAGAATGAATGGCTATAAAAAGTTATTAAACACACCTTTATTTACTTTACCTGTGTAAACTGTTGTTTAATGCTGTTTGAGATCCAAAAAATGGTGCAATTTATCATTAGAGCTCAAATTAAAGAATCAATAATTCAATAATTAGAAATCTGAATTTCCGTGAAAAAAAAAAACATCTGTAGAGAATCAAATTGTCATTATGAACCAAACTGTGTTGAAACTGTTACAGAAAACATGAGCAAATGTTTGCTTGATTTGTTCATGACAATCAGGGATGATGATTTATTGCATATTGCAAATGTATTTGCTATGATTTTGCTGGAGATATTGAATGAAGCAATGCTATTAATAATGCAGTGGTTTTAATCCGGTTCAAACTGGACTTCTCAGCCAGAAGCGCTGTCAGAAGTGTCTCGGTGTTCATGAACGCGGTGTTTTACTGCTGCAGGGTGGCGTGTCTGTGGACTGCATCACTGATCTGGACGACAGTCACTCTCGTCTGCTGGAGGCTCTTCAGCTCTCTAAGCCTGTGGAGTCACACAGCGAGAAGAAGAAGAAGACGAGCGACGCAAAGCTCAGCCTGAATCCCATCTACAGACAGGTGCCGCGCGTGCTGGACAGCTGCTGCCAACACCTGCAGAAATATGGTCAGTGCCTCCTCCTGTACATCCAGAGGTGCAGTGAAACGTGTTCGAAGGAGCCCCGCAAATCAATATTGTGGCTCTGAGTTCACATCTGTCAGTTTGAGGTCGTCGTTACGGTTTGATAAGCCCCGCCCCAACTTCCTGTTTCAATAGAGAGCGTCAACACGGGGGAAAAAACTTTTCCGTTTCCATTTCATGGGGTCTTCAGAGTTCACAATAACAGCCGGACTAGTTTGAGCGTAGTCTAAACACAGTTTTAAGACAGTTTCCATGCAGACGTTGACGTAACAGTGCCGGTTATTTGCTTTGCTGCTGTGAAGGTCTGCAGACGGTGGGCATTTTCCGGGTCGGAAGCTCCAAGAAAAGAGTTCGGCAGGTGAGAAGCAAATGTTTTATGCTTTAGAGACTATATATTTTTTATTAAAAAAAATTTTTTTTTAATTCTATTTTTTTTTACTGACAGTAACCAGAGTACACGAAAGCAAAATAATTTAATTTAATTTAATTATTTAATTTAATTTAATTTCACATGGAACTTGTACAAAAATTAATATTTGTAAAAAAAATATTTAATAATATGTCAGTAAAGCTAAATACAATAAATATAGGCTAAATATATATTTTTAAATAAAATAAAATATATTTATGGCATGAAAATTTTAAATTTTTTACTAAATGACAGTAAAGGTAACCAAAATAAATAAAGACAAAAAAAAATAACAAATGGAAATTAAATAAAAAATTAAATTCAGTTAAACTCAATTTGGCATGGATCTTGTACAAAAATGTATATTTCAGTTATTATATGTCAGTAAAGGTAAATCAAATAAATAAAAGTATTTTTTGTACATTTTTCTTATCATACAAAAATATTTCATCATCTTGACCAGGGATTCCCAAACTCTTTTTTTTGTTTTGTCAGATTAATCCTTTTGACCTAAAATGTTTACTTGAAGTACCCCTGAATTATTAAGTGAATATTTTAATAATTTAACAGCACATTTGCATGTTTATGGTTCTCCGATGACAATTAATGGTCACGGTACACAATAGAAACAAATTAAATATTTCTTTTATTTAGATTTTTATTTTACTATTATTTATGTTTTTAATTTTGCTCCGAATTATTTTTGAACTTTTTTTTGTATTTTTGTATTGTGACATCCAGGTAAACAAATAAATTAGTTCCATCTTTTTTTTTTTTTTTAGTAAGTATTGTGTTTTGTTTTCATTTTTTTATTGTTTATTTATTTTTATTGTACATCATTAAAAAAAAAAAATTATTAATTGTTAGCCTTTTTCAGCCCGCTGCAGTTTCTTCACAAACCCAAGTTTGCTAAACTTTGCTCTAGATAATGCTGTTGTGTACACAAACCTTCCAAGAGGGTTATTTTCAATTAATCTGAGTGAATTTAAATGATTTAAAAAAAAATCCTTATGCATTAATAATCACAAATAACTGGAAAGTTTGTGCAACTTCATTGGTGGAAAAAGTATGTGAACCCTCTAAAGACCAATGTCGGTATTGACGGTGTGTTTGTTGTGACGTTCAGCTGCGTGAAGCGTTCGATCAGGGTGCCGAGGTTGTTCTGGACCAGCGGCACAGTGTTCATGATGTGGCGGCGCTGCTCAAAGAGTTTCTGAGAGACATGCCTGATCCTCTGCTGACCAGAGAACTCTACTCCGCGTTTATCAGCTGCACGTGTAAGAAAAATAATGCTGAGACAATCATTCTTAAAGGAATAGTTCAGCCAAAAATTAAAGTGTGCTCACCCTCAGACCATCCGAGATTAGGATGAGTTTGTTTCTTCATCAGATTTGGAGAAATGTAGCATTGCATCAGTGTCTCAGCAATGGATGCTCTGCAGTGAATGGGTGCCGTCAGAATGAGAGTCCAAACAGCTGATAAAAACATCACAATAATCCACAAGTAATCCACAGCACTCCAGTCCATCAGTTAACATCTGGAGAAGACAAAAGCTGAAACACATCCAGCATTAAGATGCTTTTAACATCAAACCGTTGCTTCAAGCTAAAATATGAGTCCATAATCCATAATAATGCTTCCTCCAGTGAAAATCATAACAAAAACCACATCAAAATCCAGCCACATATTTGTTTAGAACTGTTTTGGACTGTTTTGTAAACGGTGCTTGATCTGTGCAGATTTCTTTGATTCAGACGAGACGACTTTTTCACTGGACAAAGCAATATTATGGACTCATATTTTAGCCAGAAGCAAATGAGCACACTTTCATTTTTGGATGAACTATTCCTTTAATAAATCAACACTTAATTCTTCTTTATTCCACTCATCTTCTCTGTGGTGTTTCTGCAGCTCTAGATAAGGCAGATCAGCACACGGTCATACAGTTACTCATCTGTCTGCTTCCCGCCTGCAACAGCGACACCCTTCAGTGTTTACTTCACTTCCTGTCCAACGTAGCCAATCACGCGGAGGATTCGCGGGACGCTGATGGAAACGAGGTGAGTTGTGTGGTTCATTTGTGATGATTTATAATTTGAATGTGTTTTATTTGTTTAATTTGTATTTATCTGTATCAATTTAATTTAGGCTAGTTTCATGATCCTGTGAATGTAAGAGTTTTCAGACAGAGATAATTTAACAAAGTCTCTCAATTAAACTTCAAGAAAAAACATAGTTAGTGGCCATTCACACAAAACACGTTTTTGTGCATTTTTAGAAACTCATTTTGTTGACAGTAGAACTACTTTCAAATTGAGCACCGCATTTTTAAATTGGCGTGTCGTGTGTGAGACGATGAAAAAGAAGTGAAACGCGAACACAAAGGTCAAATACGTCCGTCTCGTGCATGTTTGAAAAACAATGGAAAAAGCAGCACAGTTGAATGCAAAACGCTTTCTGTGTGAACGAGCCCTTATACACTGTAAAAACTGATAAATAAATAAAACAAAGATTATTGGAGTATGTTTTACTATTCCAGTCTTTCTACTTCAAAATATTATGTTTAATTCAATGTGTTACTTGCCATTTCTTTGTAATTATTTGTGAAATTTACTAGCAAATTGTTGCAAAGTAAATATGACACTGAAAAAATTTTTTGTGGTAAATAAATTTTCACTCGGAAATTTCTAGTAAATTAATTTAAAAAAAGGTAATTAGGCAAGGCAAGTTTTTATATATATATATATATATATATATATAGAATTTCATACCTAATGGTAATTCAAAGCGCTTTACATAAAAATGAATTAAAATCATAACACAATCACAACAGATGCATAAGAAAAAAATAGCATGCATTAAAAAAAAAACAATAAAGCAGAGAAAAAAAAGAAGAAAAAATGATTTTAATTAATTAATTAATTAATTTAAATTAAATTAAACTACAATGACAAAGAAATTGCAAGGGGAATTTAATTTTAACAGTAATCCTCTGTTGTGCAGCTCTTTACTTAACATTTTGAAGACATTAATTAAAATGGTAAGGTTTTATGCCTTTATTTGATTACCACTGTTTTTGATAGTAAATATGTATTAAATCATAAATCCAGAAAAATCCAAAGTGGCAACACAAACTTTCTGAAAAAAATACAACATTTCCCAGGGATCTATTATTAAAGAAAGAAAGAAAGAAAGAAAGTAAATAAAGAAAGAATATTTATTATTATTATTATTATTAATTATTATTATTATTATTATTATTATTATTAAACTGTTAAAGTTTAAAGTTGTTTTTGTTTGACATGCTTTTTGATTATTAAATTTTAATTAAATAATTAAAACCGAATCAGAAAAAAAAAATGAATTTGATTAAAGATTAAAATTATTAAAAATTGATTTAAGGAATATGTAAATATGCATAAAATATAGGATGCATACAACTACATAGAAACTGCAAGTAACATTGAATTAAACATGGAAATATGAGGTAGAAAAACTGAAATAGTATTTTCTCGTAAAACATACTTTGAAAAAGTCATTTTCTACAGTGTACAGCAATTTTTTTTCTGGAGTCAAACTGTCTGTCTCAATCAATCAATTATTAAAACTTTCATGTGTAAATGTTTTAGTAAAAACAAGTGTTCATAAAACATGTTGAATCTTCTTGACTACACCTGACTGTTTGGTTGATATGATTTTTCCTCTGTTGGGAAGAATGACCCTTTTAAGCAAATACATAAATACAGAGATGATGTCAAATATTATCAAACGGCTAAAACACTGAGGTATGATTTTTTTAGCTCGTGTGTGTAAGAGGATGCATGGAAAGTGAAGTGACACACAGATGGATAACAGCTTGTTATTGCAGCAGGAATCAGATGACATAAAGCAGTGATCTCATGCATCAGTCATTTAGTGCTCATAAGAATCACAAGGTTTCCCAAAGCTGCTTCCAATAGAAATCCAACACAACTGCTGTTGAAATTGTTTGTTTGTTTATCTTGTTTAGTTAAAGTAAGTGATTCCTTACTGCATTAATCCCAATGAGCTCAGTGAGCTCTGGGGTTTGAGGTCGGTCTGAAGTAAAATGTTTTTAGTTACTCCTGTTTTCAACCTCGTATGACTTTCTTTCTTCCAGGAGAAATTAATTTTAACAGTACACCTCTGTTGTACAGCTGTTTGTTTGTCAAAAAAGTTTCATTTGATTGCATTTTAAAAGATTAATTAAATTGCTTTGATTACCACAGTTTTTGATTGTAAATATGTAGTAAATCGTAAATCCAGAAAAATTCAGAGAAAATAAAACATTTCACAGGGACCTATTATTGTAAAATAAAGAAATAACAATAATAATTTAAAAATTGTTGAATTGTTAAAGTTGTTTTGGGCTGACATTTTTGATGATTAAAATTTTATTAAAATCATTAAAACAGAATCAGAAAAATGAAAACAGAAAACACAGAATTTGGTAAAAAAAAAATAAAAAATAATAAAACAGCATTTGGGGGAAAATAAAACAGATTTCATAGGCCCCTAAAAATTACATTTTTGTTAAAGTTGGTAACTTCTTGTTGAATTATGTAAGTTTTGTGATTTTAATTAATTATACATGCTTTTTAATTACTAAAATTTAAGTTAACTATTAAAATGGAATCCAGAAAAATTTAAACTGAAAACACAGAATTTGGAAAAAAATAAAACCGATTTGATAGGGCCCTAAAAATTTTATTTTTGATAAACCATTAGTAAATTGCCGTTAAATTATGTAAGTTTCATGATTTCAATTAATTAGACATGATTTGTGATTAGTAAAATTTTGTTTAACTATTAAAACGTAATTCTGAAAAATTTAAGTGTAAATAAATGGAATTTGGAAAAAATAAAATAGGTTTATTAGGGCCCTAAAAATTACATTTTTGTTCAATTTTCAATAAATTGATGTTAAATTGTGCAAGTTTCATGATTTCAATTAATTAGTCAAGCTTTTTTATTAGTAAAATTTAATTCCACTATTGAAAAATAATCCAGGAAAATTACAATGTGAAAAAAAAATGAATTTGGTATAAAAAAAAATAAAATCATAGGGCCCTAAAAAATATTTTTTTATTAAACTTAAAAAAGAAAAAAATTAATTCTGCACGTTTCAAGATTTCAGTTAATTAGACATTATTTTTGATCAGTAAAATTTAAATTAACCATTAAAACGGAATCCAGAAAAAATTACATGTAAATAAACAGAATTTGATAAAAAAAAATTTAAAAAAAACATTTCATAGGGCCATAATATCATTTTTGTTCAACTTTTAATGAATTGTTGTTAAATTGTGTAAGTTTCATGATTTCAATTAATTAGACATACTTTTTGATTAGAAAAATTTAATTAATGAAAAAAGAAATCCTTTTTTCCTCCCATCCATGAGAATTTTTTGGTACAGCATTTGAGTGAAGACAGGATAGGGGTAATATGATCACGCTTTCAAGTGCCTGTCAGCAATCTCACAGTCGCATTTTGGACGCCAGGGCTTTCTGGCCAACTCCCATGAGAGTATTAACAATAGTCTAAATGTGAAAAAAATAAAAGCATGAATAACTATCTCTAGGTCTCTAAAAGAAAGAAAGGGTTTAATCTTTGCTAACGTTCTCAAATTAAAAAAGCAAGATTTGAACACAGAATTAACTTGCTTTTCAAATTTAAATTCTGAGTCAGATTTTTCACCACTGCTTTATTATGATCAGCCCAGGAGCCAAGAATAGAATTTATAGTGGTTTGGTTTCCAACTGGACCAAAAAACATAATCTCAGTTTTATTTTCATTGAATTTTAAAAAGTTTAATGCCATCCAGTCCTTGATGTCAGTTAAGCAGATCAGAAGCGAGCTAGTTCCCAAAGGGAGTAAATACAGTGAAAACACAAGGGGGGCGAGAATAGACCCTTGAGGGACTCCATACTTTAGTGGAGCTGCCATTCGCATACATTCACCCAGTTTAACCGCAAAGCTTCTATCTGCTAGATATGACTTAAACACTTTAAGGGCTACCCCACAAATTCCAACATGGTTTTCCAGCGGAGAAACCAAAATATTATGATCTACAGTATTGAAGGCCGCACTCAGGTCCAATAACATTAGGATCGACGAGGCTCCAGAGTCAGCATTTAATGGTATATCATTCTGAACCCTTAAAAGTGCTGATTCTGTGCTATGTTTTGCACTAAAACCAGATTGAAAAACTTAAAAAAAAATCCAAAAATGATTGTAGTTGAAAAAAAACTACCTTCTCCAAAACCTTAGAAAGAAAAGCCAATTTTGAGATTGGTCTGAAATTGGATAGATCATTGGAGTCCAAACTTGATCTCTTTAATACTTGGCTGCGCTATGGCATGTTTAAAATCAGCTGGCACAAAACCTGTCATCAAGCAATTATTTATTAGCTTCAAAATACTGGGGCTGACAACTTGATTCCCACACTGGGATAAAATCTTACAGACTAGTAGAGGGTTTCATATGTTTAACAATCTCTGCCAAATCCGTCATAGAAACTAAATGAAACTGATAAAAAACAGTCGTCTGAAATTAGATAGATCATTGGAGTCCAAACTTGATCTCTTTAATACTTGGCTGCGCTATGGCATGTTTAAAATCAGCTGGCACAAAACCTGTCATCAGGCAATTATTTATTAGCTTCAAAATACTGGGGCTGACAACCTGATTCCCACACTGGGATAAAATCTTATGGACTAGTAAAGGGTTTCATATGTTTGACAATCTCTGCCAAATCCGTCATAGAAACTAAATGAAACTGATAAAAAACAGTCGAGCATGTTGGCAAAAGAGCTGGTTGATCATAATCCAATAACGGAAGATCTAATACCAGAATTGTTTTTGGAAATTTTTTTGAACTTTTCACATGATGCAGACTTCAAACCCAACCGAAGCAGGTGGATTAATCACCGCATTCAGTGTATTGAATAAAACTCTCGGGTTGCCTTGTTTTTTTTTTCCCCGATGAAATTAGAAAAATATTTGTCCCTTACAGTTTTAACCAATTTGTGGTAATCAAATAACAGCCCTTTAAAGGGGTCATGAAGTCCACTTATGACGTTTGCGTGGTTTTTTATACATTCAAAAACATCAAAATCAATAAGTAATAGGCTATTTTCTACCCTGGTTTTGAGGCCGGCTCGAGAAACGCTCTGTTTTTATTGGTGTGCCGCATTGAAGACTTGAAAGTAAATGCCCACTGCTATGATTGGATAACAGTTTTCACAGTGAACTAACTACAAACTAACTTCATAGTTGGAGCCTTCTGTGACTTTGGTTAGACACGCACACATAATCAGGACATCAAGCTATCTCAAACAAAGCAATAGTGACACAGTACAAAATATTTTTTACTCACATTAGTGTGCTGCGCCATTCCCGTCAGATCCAATATAGACAGCACAGCATTGCTTTTTAATCTCAGTCTCTCTGCAAATCCAGCTTAGGATCGACGAGGCTCCAGAGTCAGCATTTAATGGTATATCATTCTGAACCCTTAAAAGTGCTGATTCTGTGCTATGTTTTGCACTAAAACCAGATTGAAAAACTTAAAAAAAAATCCAAAAATGATTGTAGTTGAAAAAAAACTACCTTCTCCAAAACCTTAGAAAGAAAAGCCAATTTTGAGATTGGTCTGAAATTAGATAGATCATTGGAGTCCAAACTTGATCTCTTTAATACTTGGCTGCGCTATGGCATGTTTAAAATCAGCTGGCACAAAACCTGTCATCAGGCAATTATTTATTAGCTTCAAAATACTGGGGCTGACAACCTGATTCCCACACTGGGATAAAATCTTACAGACTAGTAAAGGGTTTCATATGTTTGACAATCTCTGCCAAATCCGTCATAGAAACTAAATGAAACTGATAAAAAACAGTCGAGCATGTTGGCAAAAGAGCTGGTTGATCATAATCCAATAACGGAAGATCTAATACCAGAATTGTTTTTGGAAATTTTTTTGAACTTTTCACATGATGCAGACTTCAAACCCAACCGAAGCAGGTGGATTAATCACCGCATTCAGTGTATTGAATAAAACTCTCGGGTTGCCTTGTTTTTTTTTTCCCCGATGAAATTAGAAAAATATTTGTCCCTTACAGTTTTAACCAATTTGTGGTAATAAAATAACAGCCCTTTAAAGGGGTCATGAACTGGATTTTTCTAAGTCCACTTATGACGTTTGCGTGGTTTTTTATACATTCAAAAACATCAAAATCAATAAGTAATAGGCTATTTTCTACCCTGGTTTTGAGGCCGGCTCAAGAAACGCTCTGTTTTTATTGGTGTGCCGCATTGAAGACTTGAAAGTAAATGCCCACTGCTATGATTGGATAACAGTTTTCACAGTGAACTAACTACAAACTAACTTCATAGTTGGAGCCTTCTGTGACTTTGGTTAGACATGTACACATAATCAGGACATATCAAGCAATAGTGACACATATAGTACAACTATTTTCTACTCGCATAGGTGTGCAGCGCCATTCCTGTCGGATTCAATATAGATGCACAGCTTTGCTTTTTAATCTCAGTCTCTCTGCAAATCCAGCATCGAGCTGTGTCTTGTTTACAAAGGAATCTGCGGTGAAATGAAGCGAACAGCCACTCAATGTTTTACTCCCTTGAGTTGAAACTTCATTAAAAATTAAAGTTCAACCATGCATTCCTAATATTTGAATCCAAAGGAAGGTTATGCAGCGACTGTGTTCTTCCACAACCAGGCACTGCACAATATTCTGCGATCTTCAACGGCATGTTTATTACTTGGTTGCTCAATCCGGTTTAGCGCCGCTTATGTTATTTCCCTGCTATGTCATGCGCGAATCAGTGGGCGGGGCTACAGAATTAGGCGTTGATCTTTTTCTGTGGAGGCGGGGTTTAACCTATTACGTCATAGGTAGGCACATTGCAGGATCTGGCGTTCGCTGGGCCTGCTGTCAATAAAAGCTTTTATTTCAGTAACAAGGACGCTTTCAGTTCTGAAATTTACAGGATATTCTTTTAGTACGATAATCTCTTGTATATCAAAATCTCTCAAATGACACCTGAAGCTTATCCGTCTGCATAGACGATGCAGAGCACAGGTGGACTCATTAAGCCAAGGTTCAGAATTTAGTTTAAAACATCTCGTCTCCAACGGGGCAATCAAGTCTAAAATATCAGTGCACACCGAGGTAAAAGAAGAGCGTAATTCGTCCCCACACAAGCTCGTAAGAGGAATCTCATTGTCCAAATTCAACAACTCAGTATCATTGTACATAATGCAGAAATCGTCAACAGTTTAAGAGTTCAGTTTCTGACATTTATATCTTGACGCACGCGGTTTTCCTTTGGGACATTGAAAGGAAACATTAAAAACAACAGAATTATGATCAGAGAGCCCAGTATCAATGATTTCAAGGTCGCAAACAGTCAAACCATAAGAATAGACACGCGGTTTTCCTTTGGGACATTGAAAGGAAACATTAAAAACAACAGAATTATGATCAGAGAGCCCGGTATCAATGATTTCAAGGTCGCAAACAGTCAAACCATAAGAATAGATCCAAAGTTTGTCCATGTATGTGTGTCGGGCCATTCACATACTAAACTAGGTTGAATGATTCAATGAGATTAAGGACATCTCTTGACAGTATATCGACTGGGCAGCAGACATGAATATTAAAGTCCCAGAGGATCAAGAGTCTATCATACTTCATCATAAGTCCTCCTAGAAATTCCGTGAACTCAATAAATAAAGTTTTCCATAAAACATCACTACTTAAAGGACAAACCACTTTAAAGCACAATAAAAGTCTTTACACTATAAGTGACCCTGGACCACAAAACCAGTCATAAGGGTCAATTTTTAGTTTTGGAGGTCATGCATTGCTTTTTGTGCTGATCACAAATCCACAAGTTCATGCAGTTAGTGCAGTTTGTTAGACGTACAGTAGTAAATGATGACTGCATTTGTGTTTTTGCCCGAATTACACATTGTTTGGGCTTCTGCTCTACTTTAGGTGATTGGTAATAAGATGACGTCGCTGAACCTGGCCACCATATTTGGGCCGAACCTCCTGCACAAGCAGAAGAGCTCAGAGAAGGAGTTCAGCGTTGAGAGTTCGGCGCGGATGGAGGACAGCGCCGCCATCATCAGCGTCGTCCAGCACATGATCGACACGCACCAGTCCCTGTTCATGGTACGAACCGTCCCATTACATAACACACTAAAAATGCACAGCGAGGCCCTCCGCCGACTTGATGTGCACAGCCAAAGAAAATACAACAATAAAAATAAATCACCACGTCTATGCACGTTTGTTATGGCAGTTTTATGAAAGTGCTTGAGATCTAGTTTATGCTGCTCAGTGTTGGATCACTGGGATCGCTGAAACGCTCCAGCACAGTCCTCTGGCATGTCCAAAAAAGGGCTGCTGAGATGTTTTGGACCATTTAAATTTGAATGAAGGACAAGTGTGCTGGCAGAATAGAAACATGCACGGGTTTTAGGCAGATTGCATCCTGTTAAGGGGGAATATTGTACATATTATTATTATTTATTTATTTTTTTTCCTATATGGTCCCATTTTTACTAATCACAATTTCCTTTAAAGGAGTAATATTGTACATGTTGTTATTATTATTATTATTAATAATTAATTTATTAACTTATTTATTTATGTATGTTTGTTTATTAATTTATTTATTTAATTGCACATTTATGTATTTACCTATTGTCCTTATGGTCCCAATGTTATTAATCATAATTATGTAAAAATATAATCTTACCGGTTTAATTATATATTTAATATCATATTTAAATAAATAATTACATATTTATGTTTTTAAATATCACATTTTTCACACACTCACTTTGACCCTGATAATTTAATAATTTTTTGAATAGAAACATGCATGGTTTTAGACAGATTATATCCTTCAAAGAGTTAATATTGTATATATTATTAATATTATTATTGTTTATTTTCCCTATGGTCCCAGTGTTACTGATTTATAAATAATAAAACTAATTAATAATAATAGTAATAATAATAATAGTAATAATAATAATAATAATAACAATTAAATTTTGGTTTCTTACACATTTATTTTCCCTGTGGTCCCAATATTACTGATTTGTAAATAATAATAATAAAAAATAATAATAATAATAATAACAATTGATTTTATTATTTATTTCATTACACATTTATTTTCCCTATGGTCCCAATGTTACTAATTATAATTAAGTCTTAATTTAGTTTTATTATTGTAATTATATATTTATTATCATATATAATTCATATTTATATTTTTACATTTATATCTGATTTTTCACATTCTCTCTCTGACCCTGAAAAGTCAAACATGTTTTGCTGTTCTGTCTTTAAGATTTCAATATTATCTTCACATGTGAAATAAGTAAAAGTCAAACAGGTCAGGGTTAGTCTGGTTAGTGTGGTCTAGTTTCCCCTGCTGGCAGATGCTGTAACTACACCCTTATTTGTGCTAAAGCATCTTTCTCTGTTGAAAGTAACCATAAATTCTGATGAAACCAGTCAGACTTAGGTTTTCTGTCACCACCGTTATTTTAAGATTTTAGGTTTTCTGTCACTCTAAATTGGTTCAATAATTATTTATCAGAAAGAACTCAGTGTATCTCAGTTGAAATTTTTATTTCAACTGAACTAAAAACTACAAAAGGTGTTCCCCAGGGTTCTATTTTAGCACCAGTTTTATTTTCTATTTATATCAATGACCTTGGTCGTGGGATAACCTCAGCTAGAATTCATTTATATGCTGATGACACAATTATTTACACAGTAGCACATTCGGTGAATCAAGCCATAGAGCTCTTGCAAGAATCTTTTCAGTTACTGCAACTGTCATTGTCAAACTTAAAATTGGTTTTAAACTCAAAGAAAACAAAATACATGCTTTTCATTTAAGATTTCAATATTATCTTCACATGTGAAATAAGTAAAAGTCAAACAGGTCAGGGTTAGTGTGGTCTAGTTTCCCCTGCTGGCAGATGCTGTAACTACACCCTTATTTGTGCTAAAGCATCTTTCTCTGTTGAAAGTAACCATAAATTCTGATGAAACCAGTCAGACTTAGGTTTTCTGTCACCAGCATTATTTTAGGATTATTTATATACTGTTATAGCATTTATTAATATTTTGAATTAGCTTTTATATTTATATTTTATTTAAATTTTTAATAATTTTGTTATATTTTAATAATTATGTTATATTTTGTTCGTTTTTTTTATTAAATATTTAAAAAATATTTTTAATATTTTTAAAATTTAATTTTAGTCATTTTAGTCATTTTAATAGTTCAGCTTAAACTTATTTTATTTCTGTTAGTTGCCAAGGCAAAAGTTTTTTTTTTTTTTTTTTTCTAATCTAATATTTATATTTTATTTGTATTTCAGTTAGCAAAAAAATATGTTTAATGGTTTTACCTTTAGTTAACAATAACACTGGCCAGGATGAGCTTAATTTCAGGAAATGTTCTTCTTTCCATTGTGGAAAAAGTTACAGTATATTTACATCATAAATCAAGCATTTTGATCTCAAATGATGAAGGAAAGTTTGGATCGTTAAAGTCACTTGTAAGAGATTTTGAGCTGGCTGTGCATTTGGACTGTGTCTCTTAATGTGTTATAAATGTAAAAAGATTGTATTCCTTGTAAAGAATTTGATAGCCACCAAAGCTAAAGCACTTGTGATTGTTTATTTGGCATTAAACCTGTATGTCAGTCGTTTGATTGGACCCAGTTGTGTTTTGTCCGTGACTCCAGAGGTTCGGTAAGACTCTTGAAGGAACGTGTTGATCTGATTTGTCCCGGCAGATCTCAGCGGAGCTGCAGAACGAGCTTCTGATGAGTTTGTTGGACACGGACAGTGATGTGGTGGATTATCTGCTGAGGAGGAAAACACCACAGTGTGAGTAAGTGAGTTTGTGTCTCTTCTGAACACCACGATCTGCCTCATACAGATAAAAACATCCAGCTGCAAGACTGACCAGTCATTAGTCCTGTCACAACTGTTGATTTGATTAGTAATAATTAATCAGACTGCGTTATACATTATTATATTATATTATATTATATTATATTATATTATATTATATTATATTATAATATTTTGAAAATATATGAATTATATTCATTTTAATTATTTAATATTAATTTTCACAACACTACAGTAAATCTTATGGACCCATTTTATTATTTTTGTTATTATAATATAAATGATTCCAAGTAAAGTAATAACACTGGCTTGCACTGTGAGTTTTGTTAATGATGTGCTCAGTCCCGTCCCGCTGTGTACTCTGTGGTCCTGCAGAGACGTGAAGAGCTCCAGTGGAGAAATCTCTCCATACGATAACAACTCTCCGGTGCTCTCCGAGTGGTTTCATCCATCAGGACCGGAGCATCAGAGTCCCACAAACCTCCAGCATGCTCTCGATAGGAACAACACAGTGAATTTCTGCCTCTCACCCTCACAAGCCGGCGCTGGTGGGTTTATTTACTAATGAAGAGACGTCAGTGATGCTGAACACATGATTGAAATGCACTACATAGGCAGCAACTCGTGTGTCATACAAATCACACAAGAGTTTCTCTTTTTTTTTTTTTACTAGAATTTGTCGTTAGAAAATTGCTACTGATACTCTAATAAGCATAAAATACTCAGCACAAAGATTGGGTAAAGTAGTCATTTTCATTAGATCAAACCAGGGTTATTATAGTTCATTAAAACTAAAATCATAAAAAAAACCTTCGTCACTTGAAGTAGAATACATTTTAACTGAAACAAAATAAAATATAAGGCAACATTTCACATTTTCATTTAGTTTAACTTCATGTTCCATTGTGACAACATACCCAAGTCACTGGGGCATGTTGTCACAAAAATTCGACTTTTTTTTTTCTTTTTTTTTTTTGGACAGTAACGGTGGAAATGTTCAAAAGACTTTATAAAGATCATATATATAAAAAATTTATAATTTAAATAATTTATTGTAATATAATTAAATTTTAAATAAATGCTAACTGAAATAATAATAAAAAAAAACTAAACTTATGTTATTTCCGTTAGATCACAAGGAATAATTTTTCTTTTTCATGTAGTTAAACTAATTCTAAAATAGCTAAAACTTAAATAAAAATGAATTAAAAAAAACTACATAGACATTAAAAAAAACTCATAAAAATGACAAAAACACACAACAAGATTACGAAGACTTTAATAAAAAAATAATTTTAAATAATTGTGAATTTTATAAATATTCACAGTATTGCAGTAAATCGTATGGGACTATTTTATTGCAATTTTGTATTATCACATCATATACAATTCCAATTTTAAAAAACAAAGAGTATAAAAAACAAAGTATGCAAAGATAATCAAAGGTCTTCCTTCATACTAAATCAAACTGCATTATATTATATTAAATTATACTAAAAATTACTATTTTTCACAGCATTAAAGTAAATCATATGGGCCTATTTTATCATAATTGTTATTATTTTATAAAAAAAAAACGAATTAACAATTTTAATACAAAATATAATAGTAAATCAAAGAGACTAAAATCACACTGGATCAAAGTAATTTTTTAATGAATACTTTCCAGTATTGAATAATTATTATTATTTTTTTTTTTTTACTGAACTTATCACAGCACAAAATCTGATTGCTTTCTACTGCATTCATGTAATGCTGCCTTATAAATGTGTTGAAATGAGGTTTTGTGAGTGTTGTTCATGTCAGTAATGAATATTCTCGTCTCCTCAGGGGAAACCATACATGATAAGGCTCGTATCTGGAGAACACAACACGCTCTTCTGTCAGGACTTCATGACAAACTCCTCACAGGTACAAACACCAGACGAAACACATATCTGATGCTGTCTGTGCGAACATTAGCGTTGAGATCCAACTCAACGAATGCGGATGGATATACAGCATTCAGAAAGAATGCCGATTTTCATTATTGCTGTCAAAAAAAAAAAATGCATGACAGCTTTAGTACTTTTGAAGAAGCACCACATAATTTTATTCTGTATTATGCAATGCATTCTGTATTTTATACAGTGAATGTTCTTTTAATCAAAGGCAAACAAGCACACTGCACTTTTGATCTTTTTAATTTTTTAAGTGGTATTACATTTATTATATTATATTTAAAATATGGGTAACACTTTACAATAAGGTTCCATTAGTTAATGCATTAACTAACATGAACAAACCATGAACAGTACATTTATTACAATATTTGTTAATGTTAGTTAATGAAAATACAGTTGTTCACTGTTAATTCATGTTAATTCAGAGTGCATTAACTAATGTTAACAAGCACAACTTTTGATTTTAATAATGCATCAGTAAATGTTGAAATTAACATTAACTGAGATTAATAAATGCTGTAGAAATACCGTTCATTCTTAGTTCGTGTTAACTAAAGTAGTTAACTAATGAACCTTATTGTAAAGTGTTACCAAGATATGCTTTGATATTAATATTTATTACAGTATTTAAATGGTCAAATAGTGAAATTTCATGACTGTATCCTTACTGGTTGAAATATATTATTTTTCAACTACATTCGTGTGCTGAATTGTGGTGTCAATTCAAAGATTTTCATTTACTGTCTCAAAAAAATTAAATTTTGCAGCCCTAAATGTTTGTCTAAAAAGTTAATTACGATGACTTTTAAGAAGATTCTTTTCAAGAATTTGAATTCTTCCTAAATGTTGTCTAAAGAACAGTCTTAGGAAAATAGATAAAATTCTTAAGAAGTATTTTTGGGAATACAGAATATAAGAAAATGAGAAGAAAATGGCACTTAAGAAGATTTTTATTCTTTATTAATATAGCAAGATAAATCTTACTAACATTCCATTGGAATGAATGGAAATTAATGAAATTCCTTTGACTTTATAACTCTTGATCGCTCAAAAACGGTCCACATTTATGAAACCTACATATTTATTTCTAACAAAACAACAAAAACATTACTCAGACTAAATAAATTCATTTTAACATAAACTTTCACTTTCAGATGAAAAAAAGTGATACATTGTTGAGAAAACGTAAAATGTCAAGGCAACTTGATGTGGTCAAAGTTAAGTTCTCTCAGCTATTGTTTTAATAATTTTACTAAGTAAAACTAACGTGTTTTTTCCATTTGAATTAGTTTGTTCACTAAATGCAAAATGCCTCGTTCAGCCAGTATATTCATGAAGACAACAGAAGATTTCTTGTTCAGTAAACTTTCTTTTATTAACTCAATAAGTTAATTTCTTGATATGATAGTCATATGTATTATATAGTCTTATAGGACACTTAATGTTAAGTGAACCATGCATGCTATGTTTGTAAAGAGAATAACAATCATCCTTATACAAAGCAAAGCAATGTAAGATATAGTTCTACATTGCTAAAATGATGAGCTCTTTACATCACAACACAACAAATGACTAACAATACTGAGAAATCAACAACAACAACAACAACAACCGTTTAAATCATCAAACAGCAAAAAAAAAAAAATCCTATAACAATAACTACATAATTTATTCATGCTGCATTGAATGCTGGGAACTCACAAAGTCTTAACAGTTCAGTAATATGAAATTATTTGTTCAGACAACTGTTGGGACAACATTTGGGGCAATTCTGTTGGTCTGACATGGGATTTTATGTAGTTTCAAGAAAATATAATTTTTTAGTTTTTAAAACTCAGAAGGTTTCATAAACTGGAAAATGTGACCCTGGACCACAAAACCAGTCATAAGGGTCATTTTTTTTCGAAATTGAGATTTATACATCAGCTGAAAGCTGAATAAATAAGCTTTACATTGATGTATGGTTTGTTAGGATTGGACAATATTTGTCTGAGATACAACTATTTGAAAATCTGGAATCTGAGGGTGCAAAAAAAAATCTAAATATTGAGAAAATCATCTTTAAAGTTGTTAATGGAACATGATCTTTACTTAACATCCTAATGATTTTTGGCATAAAAAAAAAATCTATAATTTTGACCCATACAATATATTGTTGGCTATTGCTACAAATATACCCCAGCGACTTAAGACTGCTTTTGTGCTCCAGGGTCACATATATGTAGTTGCTTTTTTGTTTTTTTACAGTGAGTGTGTGAGATATGGGGAAAAGGCTAAATATATTTACAAACGTTTTTGACACTAATTTAACTCCATAGATAATGTTACAAAAGTATTTTTGACACCTAATGACACTCAATACTTTCCTGGGGTCAAAATGACCAGAACATGTACCATTTAAATGGTTATATTATATCTCTTAACAAAAATAATAGTTAAAAATCTGGAATAAATAAATGATGTGTATTTTGAGGGTCTTAAAGCATTTGCAAAGTTTCATTCCATTCATTTAGAATTTTTTATATATATATTTTCCAGGTCAAAACGACCCGAATGCATCATGATTTAGATTGAGATGTGTTTCTGTCCTTCAGGTTCGGATGGACACCTTTATAAGCGCGCCTCCTCTGATGTCTTCTACGATGACGACAGCGACACGAAACCTGTGCGCGAGACGCAAGCGTCCCATACGAACGCCGCTGCTGAATGTAAAACGCACCTGCATCCAGTCGCATCGAGCCGCCAGACTGCATTTGACCAATCAGAGGAGGCGACCGCACCTCCCGCCAAACCAGACGACAGACTTCCTGCCGTGTCCATGCAGCCGCGTGTCACTTCCTGTCAGCATCCAGACTGGCCGACAGAGAAGTGGCAGATATGGCAACTCCTGTCATCAGACAGCATAGACACACTTCCAGAGACTATGGTGTGAAACACACATTTTAAAGGGACAGTTCACCCAAAAATTAACTTACTGTCATCAAAAGAACATTGGACCCCCATTGACTTTCATTGAATGAGGCATTTCTCAAAATATTTTCTTTTATGTTCCAAAGAAGAAAGAAAGTCATACAGGTTTGGAACGAGTGAAGGATGACAGAATGATAATTTTTTGGTAAACTGTCCCTTTAAGAACCTTCTAGTTTGCAAGTGAATTTGAATTGAATTTGAAATCGGCCACAACACAGAATATTACATCAGAATTTGAAATGGAATGACAGGAAGCACCAAAAAATGTTACCACATTGTTTTCAGATAATTGTATACAAATAATTATTGATATGAAAATTTTGGATGAATATTTTAAAATTTGCGGTCGTTTATTATTATTATTTTTTTTGACAGAAATTAATATTTTTATTCATCAAGGATGCATTCATAATGAAGTCATTTATAATGTTACAAAAGATTTATATTTCAAATAAATGCTGTTCTTTTGAACTTTCTACTAATCTGTGAATCCTGAAAAATAAAATGTATCACGGTTTCCACAAATTTATGAAATTTTTTCAGAATTGATAATAATCAGAAATGTTTCTCGAGCAGCATATTATTATGATTTCTGAAGGATCATGTGACACTGAAGGCTGGAGTAATGATGCTGAAAATTCAGCTTTGATCACATAAATAAATTTCAACATATATTCACATAGAAAACCCTTATTTTAAATTTGAATAATATTTCAATTTTTTTACTGTATTTTTGAACAAATAAATGCAGCCTTGCTGAGCAGAAGAGGCTTCTTTCAAAAACCATATGTTGAGTGTATGAACATGTTCATTGGTAATTATACTGAAACATTAAATGTATTATTAAAAACTACTCTTTTAGCAGTTATATGAATTTATTTTAATATAATTTTAATTCTACTTGTAAATCAAATTGTAATTCTGTATCCTGTGTGTTGTGGCCAGTTCAGTTCAAATGACAGGTTATGATCTGAAAAGAAGCCTTAAATTCTGAATTCACTTCAGCCTCAGTTGAAGCTGAATTGAATTTATATATAGAATATATTAAATAATCACAGTTCAGTTCCATTCAGTAGTTTGGACGTTTCCAAAGACTCTCATTTCTTGTAGGTGATTTTAAACACAACAAACACTTGCGCTTCGGCGATTTAAAGATGTTATTGTGCTTCATCTGTTAATAATGCCTCATATTTTCTTTCATTCATCAGTTGAATGTGTGACATCCTCATTAGGTAACGAGCATGTCAGATTAATTACAGGGCTGCAAACATACAGAATGTCACATTTACGACATCCAATGTATTTATTTATTAATGTTATTTATTAAATTAGCCACTAGTATGTTACCACTGTGTATAATCACCACAGAATGATTTATTTCAGAGTGCCTCAGTATCGCTTTATCTGCATGCAATCAATCGGATTTTTATCTTCACTATATTCAGATATCCTTGAAGTCATCATAAAGTCAAAATGACTCTTAATTCATGTTCCTGGTTCTGTTGCCTGTGATTCAGTGGTGCACATTATTCTGAAGAAACATGTTTATATTCATCTCTTTTATTTTTTAATGTAATAACTTGCTCTGCCTCTGAAACTACGGCATTTTTTGACTGATGTTGCTGAAAATGTGCTCCTAATCTGACGAAGAAACAAACTCATCCTGATCTCGGATAGCCTGAGGGTGAATATTCAGCAAATTTTCATTTTTTTTGGTGAACTGTTCCTTTAAATTACAACCACATGAAGAATAAAGCAATCACGTCCTGAATATGAGTTTATACATTCATTTAGTACAGAGTGAATATTCAGCAAATTTTCATTTTTTTTGGTGAACTGTTCCTTTAAATTACAACCACATGAAGAACAAAGCAATCACGTCCTGAATATGAGTTTATACATTCATTTAGTACTTCATTATTTTCTCTGTCAGTGTTCTGTTGGATATTTGTGGTATTTGTACAGCCAAGAGCGATACAATGTTGATCATTTTATAAAACAAATATATATATTTTGATAATCAATTATTTTTATCCAAATAGTAGGAGGAAGACCAAACTACAGAGTGTTTTCATGATGTTTATCGTGTATCAAAAGTGTTAGTTTTCATCATGCAGTTCATCGTCTTATGCAGTGAATATCAGCAAGAGCCTTAGATTGGGTTTTTGGATTGTGCTTTTATGGATTTTGTTTAGTTCTTTGCCTGTAGTCGAAAGCATCTGTGTTCAGAAACACAATAAAATGAATGTCTGTTAAAAGTCCATCTGTGTAACATCCAGGATTTACTTTTATTCCACATTACAGTGTTATTTTAGTATCATTGAGATACTGTTATAGTATTTTAAATGAGTTTTGATTTTTATATTTTCTGTTTTTATTTTATCTGTGTAATTTTTAGTCGTTTTGTTTTTAAGTCTATTTTGTTTTTATTCATTTTAGTTATTTTAGTGAAACTTAAAAAGTAAATGAAAATGAGAAACGTTGCTTTGGCATATAGCTGAAATAAGTAATAAGTTTAAGTATTGTTTATATTTTATTTCAGTTAATTTTATTTCAAGTAATGGAAATGTTTTAATGGTTTTAGTTTGATTTGCTATAATAACCATGCAGACTTCAACATTAATATCCATTCAGAATGAGTCGTTGTATGTACTACAAATGAATTGATGTTTACTGTAAATATTGTGTGTTTATGCTCGTCGGTTTCCTTCAGCTTTGTATTTAGTCCATTGTTTTGGTTTCCCACGAGCAGCATGAAACCGCATCACATCCCCTCCAAACAGGAAGTTACAAACAGTCGAGCGAACTGATGAAGTGAAGTGGACGGCGAGGCTTTTGGCAGATTTTTGCTCTGTATTAAGACCTACAATGACATTTGGCAAAACTTTATATTTTTTTATTTTTGTATATCAATATGGCTATAAAATAATAATAATAATTATGATTTTTATTGTGATGGAGATAATTATTAATAATAAAAGTTGTAAATAATAATAATAATAATAATTATTATTATTGTATAATTATATAATATAATATTATTTATTATTATTGTAAATTAAATTAATTTTCAAACATTAAACCATGAAGTTTGGGATCTTTAAAGCTTCTGTTTTGTTAGCTACATTATAAACAACGTTACTCCTATATGCATTTAAGCCCCGTATATTTTATGAATATGAAATTGCAAATTTGCTATGTAAATATCGTAAACAGTAAAAATAGTAAAATGGTAAGAAATGTTTTTTTTATACATTGTATTTATTTATTTTTTACAATGACCCTCTACGTTTAATGCATGGAAAACAGCAGCTTGAACATTCTTCCTACGCATCAGTTTGAGGGAAAAAATTGGTAAGATATGATATTATTCAGTAGTTTTGGTCTGTTTTATTTATTTATAATATTTCATGGTGCATCCTAGATTCACACATCATTTGCACTGTTTCTTGTATTTTACAGATCTTTATGAAGTGTGGCTGCACATGGTTGATATTTATTATATTCTATAAGGTATGTTCATTTTTGTTTACTTCGTTTTTCATTGATTACATTTACAATTTTAGTGACATTTTGGAGTCGATCCTAAAAATAAATAAAACTGCAAAGAAATTACTCTGTATTTTTCTCGTTTTTTCTAGTACAAATATCTAAACGTTTTCAAATCAAGATACATTTTCTTGAGAAGCAAAGCAAAAAAAAAAAACTGAAATCTGAAACATGTATCAAAATGTAATTAGTTTTTGCTTAAAACAAGAATAAAATATCTGCCAGAGCGGTCAGAAAAATAAACTTAATTGAAAGGGAAAACAAGAAGATTTTTCTGTCCCCATAGCAGATATTTGTTCTAGTTTTAAGCAAAAACTCATTTCATTTTGACACTTTTTTCAGAAGCACTGATTTATGACAGATTCTGTCTGCTGCTGCATGATTATCAAACGCTGGCCTGTCACTCAAAGCATTTCAGAGGGAAAATAACTATATTCAGTGAGAAACAGATTTATTTCATTCATCAGGAATTGACTGGATCATTAAAAGTGGGCGTTACCAGAATGATAAATGCAGCCTTGGTGAGCAGAAGAGACTTCTTTCAAAAACCCCAAACTTTTGGACAGTTTAGTATATATATATATATAGCTATATGTTTAATGATCATTCAAAATGATTTGAAATGCTGTTGAACAGGATTGAGCAGTACTAACCATCTTACTAATGTTAGCAGTAATGCTTTCACTCTATGTTCAGTTCTGGAGTTATTCTATTTCAAATAAAAAATGAACAATTTTATTTTGTTTGGTTATTTTGAGTATCCTTTTTAAAAGTTGACTGGTCTATTTATTTTACTATCTTAACTCTGCATGATTAAAAGGTTTAGTTGCATGTTATTATTTGCATGTAAGTCTGTTTCTCCTGCTGTCTGTGATCTGAGAGTCTCCGGTTTAGAGTCGCTGATCTAAAGCGCTCACATATGTTCCCTTCACTGACATTAAAACATTTCTGTAAACCCGTCGTCAAGTTCATGCATGTCTGTTTTGCAACTATTAAAAACACATTTATATCATTCAAACGCAGAGCAACCAAACTCTACAGAGAATCATAGCAACCCACTGCAGCACACACACACACACACACACACACACTCCCAGCGACTGCAGGCAGAATGGAAATAATTACAGCATCAAGAGGATGTTTGATTTCACCCCAAACTCTGCTTCTGGATGTTTTGCTTTGATTTATTTCAGGAATGATGAAATTATTTCTTCCTGCACTGTCTTATTGTAAATGACACTTTAAATCAGTGTTATTTTAGTACAATTGAGATACTGTTATAGTTTTGATTTTTATATCTTCCATTTAAATTTTAATCAAACTTTTAGTAATTTTGTTGGTGTGTTTTTGTTAATTTTATTAGTTTTTATTCGTTTTAGTTTTAGTTAGTATATAATATTAAACTAAATGAAAACGAGAAATGTTGCTTTGACAACTAGTAAGTTATGTTTATGTTTTTTTTTATATTTTATTACAGTATATATTAATATTTTATTTTATTTCAGTTAACTTTTATTTTATTCAAAGTAACAAAACTGTTTTTTACATATTTTTAAACATTTTATTTGTTTAAACATTTGTATTTTTATATTTTCCATTTTCATTTTATTTTAGTTAAAAATTTTAGTAATTTTGTTGTGTGTTTTTCTCAATTTAGTAGATTTTGTTTTTATTTATTTTTATCTCATTCATTTTTATTTCATTTTTCAGTTAATGCTTATTTTATTTCAAGTAACGAAGTGTTTTTTTAATGGTTTTAGTTTTACTGTAATAACCCTGCCTTAAACAGCCACAAAAATTTTTAATATTTTTATTTATATAAAAAATTTTATATGTTAAATTTTCATTTTAATTTTAGTTAAAATTTTAGGAATTGTGTTGTATGTGTCTGTATGTGTGTGTGTGTGTGTTATATATTTTTAATTTCGGTTTTAGTTATTTTAGTGCTAAGCTAAATTAAAATAACAATATATATTAAAATTAGAATATATATATATATATATATATATATATAGTGTACAGAAAAACATTTTAAGGTTCATTCTGGGTCGTGCATGACGAAAAAGTAATAAGTTGTGGTGCAGTATATTCAATTCACGTTTTTTTCTTAACTGAGAACCAAACCTTTTGTACAAGCAAGAGTATAGCCGAACATGGCAGGTTTACAGGGAAAAAAATTAAAACGTTGCATAGTTCGTATTGCTCTCAAGTTTTTACTTTTAGATCAGTGTTTTAGATATTGTTTCCATTGTTTTTGAGTCAATAAAAGGAACCGACTCAAATGAGTCATTTGTTCTGTTACACAACTGTCAATGCACGTTCGAAAACCCTTAACGGAACCGGTTTAGGAAACCATTCGGTTCCCTTATTATTTTAATTAGGTTCTCGGTTCATAACCTTCATCTGGGTCGATTACCAGGAGACAAATAAAACAACGGACATCTTTCGCTTTCGCTTTCTGTCTAAAGTTACAAAACATATCAGTATATCTTCTCATGTTGCAATTACACTCCTAAGACCAATAACTATAAAAAGTGTGACTGAGCCTGAAAAGTTAGACGTAATCCCTACAAATTTCCAAAGGGTGACATTCAGCACAAAAATACTCCATACCTTTATAAAAGCTCGCAGCAAACAGCAGCACAGCCAGCATGCCAATCCACGAGTGCGCCATTATTATCGCTCTCGCTCTCTCATACGGGCAGTGTTTGGACCCCGGCTTTAAGTACGTTACTCAAACCCAATCCTCTGAACAGTGTGATGCAAGGAACAGTACTGTCCCATATGACTTCAGTCAGCTGACGAACAAGGACGTAAACTGCAGCTTTTCTCTTCCACACCAATAGAGAGCAGCAGAGTGTGTGACAGCGTGACTGACGCCCCCGTTTAAAACAGTGAGCGCCTCCATTGTCCTCATTGTCAATACAGCTCAGGTATGGCCACCTCTAGTCTCAATTCTATCAGGGTTAGACTGTACTTTGATTATCCTCCTCCCGCGACACCTGAATGTCGGATGTGTTGGTTGCTGGTGGACTTAAACAAATGCCGAGTTGTCGCAGATCTTTCCAGCATCATAAAGGAAAAGCTCGGCTACAGCCGAAGGACTATTTTAGACTTGTTTATTGAGGATTGCTACCTGCCCTCCACAGAAAGTATTTATATAGTACGTGATAATGACAGTATAAGGTAAGAACTGTGTTTATAATAGTATGGTGAACGTTTATGCTGTTTTAAATACCTTTAATATTGATAAGTTTATTTATCATGCCTATTGACAGGGTGAAGGTATCCAGTCCTGTTTATATTAATGGAGCAGAGGACTACCAGAGCTCTGAAGCACAAAACTCCAAGACCAAGAAAAGAGGGAGAGGGGATGAGACTCAGATCTGTGAAGGTCTAAGTAAAAAAAAGAAGCATGAAGATGCGCGAAACAATGGCTCTGCACCAGTAGAGGATGCCAAAAAGAAGAAGAAGAAAGAGGTGAAAGAGTCAGCCACCAAACCTGACACCCCTCAAAAGAACATTGAAACCCCCTCTTCTACTAAAAACAACAGAAAAAGCACTTCTGCTGTCCCTGCCAGTGACAAAACAACCCGTACAAAGATTAACCAACCAACGTCAAGTTCGTCGGACAGCAGTGAGGATGAGTCTCACAATAAGGCCCCTCCACCAAAACCTAAACCCAAGCAGAATGGCGCTGCCAAAAAGCCACGGAAAGAAAGCACATCGTCCGATTCATCGTCTTCAGATGACACAGAGAAATCCAAAAGCAGCATTCCTGTACAGCCACTTCCTGCTACTCCTAAACTATCTAGCACAACCTCAAAACTTCCACTACAGACCCCACAACGTAGAGAGAGCTCCACAGATTCCTCCTCCTCATCGTCACCCAGCCAAGTCGAACCTTCAGCTAAGAAATCACAAGTAGCAACTCAGCCCTCCTCAACTACAATTCAGTCTGTCTCGTCTTCTGTCTCTAAAAAGCCTCAGGATAAGCCAGAGAGCTCAGACTCAGATGCCAGTGAAATAGAGCTTGTGATTAAGAAGCCAAACCTGCATGGAATGGGATTGAAAATTGCTGGTGTGAGCCCTGGTGTTAGTGAGGCAGCAGGCAGGGACAGAGGAAACACAAGAGGTCAGGAGAGAGGCAGAGGTCGAGGTGCGAACCGAGGCAGTGGGAGAGGAGGTTTTGGTAGGGCCAAGGGAACACCGTGGAAACAAGACTTTCATTTCAACTATGAAAATGGCGAGCGGCAGAAACCGAATGATTCTCTGACTAATGAAAGCTTTATTCTGCAGGTGAGATGAATGTGAAGATGTGGTTTATAAGAAGAAGTTACTGTTGCCCAAATGTTTGCAAAAGATCTGCAAGAGAAATGGCCTCTAAATCTAGGGTTTTCAACCAGGGATCTGTGGATAAGATATAGTAATCATAAACAATTTCATTTTATTTGTTTATATAAAAAGCTAGATGTTCTCAGTAACATTTTTAAAAATATAATATAAATTATTTATTAATATAATAAACATTTTTGTAAAAAGAAACACTAATTAAAACCTAGCTTTTTATGCTGGTCAGTAAAGGTTGAAAACCCTTGCTCTTGATAAAACATTT